ATCCCAGTACCACAGAAAGTAAGTGGGCTGGCTTTCTCTGCAGAGATAGAAGAAAGATACAGACGGGAAAGTTATTGTCTTGGTGTGAGAGACAGCTAGGAGTACAGGCTATTGTCAGCCGTGTCTTTTCAGGTGGTCTATCCATGAATGGATAGATTCATAGAAAAGGGATACTTCCTTGTATGTAAGAACAATTAAAGTTGCAACTCCGTGCAGGTAAGTGAAAGTTAAGTATTTATTTTGAAAAGGGAAGTATCATTTGATTTAGTCTGATGGCTATTTGTGCTCCGATCTTTAAAAAGTGAAGTCTTTGCCTCTGATATGGTAAATGCTCAGGCTTCTTACCGCATGACACTGGGGAAATGTTTGAGGAGCAGGCAGTTTTCTGACCAAGGCACTGACTGCAGAGTCACAGCATGACCTCCCAGACAGTGGCCTACCAAGGGACAGAAGCTGAAGGGAGCAGTCTGCCAGGTGCAGGCAAGGATGGCGTGCATAGTCTGGAGAAATGAGAAGCAACAGTAAATCCTGTGTAAATTAGTTTGCTTTTTGTTATCGCCATGTGCTAGTGGCTCTAAGCAGTGTCAGTACTGAATCAGTCTGGCCCATCACAAGCCACCTGCTGCCCCTGCTCCAGGGAAGTACTCTTCCTTGCTTTGAGGATGGAATGCAACGGGCTGGCCTTTGCTGTAAGGTCTCCCTGGTTTGATTCATTTGGCAAAAGAAGCAGTGATATAAAGTGCTAGCATTTAAACCAGGCTTGGACAGGAGCTTTTACCTTTTAGGCAGACAGAACTGTGCTTTTCTTGGGCCAGAAAGAAGGCAGTGGGCAATGTGGGGCCTGATGACAAAGGGAAGTACAGCCATGTTGAGGTTGGTACAGGGGAGATGCGACTTCACAGTGGAGAGGTGTATCTGTGTTTGGGCTCCTCTGTTAGGTGTGAGGAGCTCTCGGGTGGGCTGTGGGTTTTTTTTTTTTTTTTTTGGTACTGGGGGTCGAACTCGGGACCTTATGCTTGCTAGGCAGGTGGCGGAACCACTGGGCTAAATCCCTGGCCCTTGAGGTAGAGTGTGTTTTAGCAACTGGGGATGTGAATTAAGGTGGAGAAGAGGTCATTCCTCGGCTCATGCCTTTGCAGAGTGGAGGTCTTGTCTCATTTTGATTATGTCCTATCAGTGGTAAGTCACCCAGTATGTCCCTCTTTCAGCCTTGCAACTAGTTCTTAAACTCCTATCATCCTTCTCTGCTTGGCTTACAACACAAATCCAGGCCTCAGTTCCAGGGGGAGATATACCGACGTGCTGCATCTTTCTAGAGGACGTCAGTAACACCTTGCTAGTTTTGAATAGCTCTTTGCATTTCAGAGATGCTGGGATATGTCAGTGTTGATCTCTACTTAGGGGTCCGCGTTCATCTGCCTTCAACATTCTCTCCCAGTAGGAGGGGTGCCCTCCTGGACTGGACAGTCTCTCCGAGTGTGGAGGATCTGGGAGCTAGTCTGGTCCCGTGCTCTGCCTATGTTCACCTTCTGTACTGTACACTCCCCCGACTTCTCTCAAAGTGGCTCAGTTTGGTTTTGACAGCTTTAGTTGCCACAGTATTTGCCACCTGGCTATACCTTTTGGGGGTTAAGTTTGGTTCCATTACCCTTGAAAGTGTGAAGTCAGCTCTCTTTACCCGGGGTTTACCTTCTCTTCCCGGAGTCTGACTTTTCTAGGCTAAATGCCCTCCATTTCGCTTTCAGACTGCTTTTCCTTCCAAATCTCCGCCTCTTCTCTGCTGTCTCAGTGTTTACGTCATTCTTGAAGTTTATCGGAAATCACAACAGTATTCTAGAGCAGACAAGAAAGGGACTTTTGCCTCCTTTGCTCTTAGCGCCATGTTCCTGTTCATGCAATCTGGGAGTGCATCAGGCTTTTTGGCATTCACATCCCTCTGTTGACTCATACTTCATGTGCAATCAACCGCAATTACAGATTTTTAAAAAACACACAGAATTGCAAGTTACTTGTTCTCCTTTTCTTAATTGTGCCATTAGTTTTTTGAACTAGAAGGAAAATATCTCTCCTAGTTTACCTTTTTAGATCCCCTACGCCTTCTTATCCTGCCAAATGAATTTTGAACTCAAATTTTGCCATGTATTTTATCTGCTGCTTCTTGTTGTTTGAATGACTCTTTATTCTTGTCCAAGTCTTCGATAACTGGGTGACCAAGGCTTGAGACTTGGATCAGTCTCTAGAAGACTGTCAACCTCTTTGGACATTATGTCTTGGGACCTTAGAGAGTTCTAGATGCTCAGGACCCTGGAGTGTCCAAAACAATTTGAAACTTATGTTCTAAAGAATAACCTGATGCTGCAGGGAGAAGTCAATTTGTTGAGTTTGCACAACTATGGAAGGGATATTCTGGGAATTGAACATAGCCAGACCCTCGCTGCCCCATGAAATACTCTACAATGCTATCTTGTATTGTCTTAATAATCTTACAGTTGGGAAGGCTTCTCTCTCGTTTTGAGAGATCAGCCATAGGGAAAAGAAAAATCTAAATATCCATGAAACCATCCTAATTGGGAGCCAAGGAGGAAGCTACGGAGATGCTTTACTCATATTTTGAATCACTGGAACTTTTGAGACATTTTGTTGTTTTATTTCTAAGCCAGAGTACAAGCACACAGAATGAATTGTGGCT